GTCATTGTCTTATGTTTTCACAAAATATATTATAAAGACTTTTTTTGTAATACCTAAAAAATAAATCCTTTCATGATTGAACAACATTTTAGACAATGTAAAAGTTTTATACGCGTGGTGTGTGTTCTTACTATATCATGTTTTTAAATAAAAAATCCATCATTTCTCACATTTTTTGGAATTTGCATTATGTAGGTAGGTACATTATATTTACACACAATATTTACTATTTATAATATATTCAATCAATGTCACACCATGAGTTCAACTTTATTTGATTTTCATTTTTTATTCTTATTCGAAAATGTCGATTGCGTAAGCTATTTAATTTACATTTGATCAATTGCATACAAAATTATTTATTTATTTTTTATATTTTATAATAAAAGTAATTTTCAATAATATTGTGTTATTTTAAACAAGGTCACAAATTTTAAATTTTAAATGATAAACATGATTTCAACATGGAGTTAGAATAGTTAGATGTGTGTGTATGTTTTTTGACTCAAACGTATCAATGATTACTCATTATGCTTACCAAATAGTTAATTACAAGATAATTTTTTTAATTTAATTGGAAAATTTACTCATTATTTATTAATATAATTATAGTTTGATGAAAATAAGTTTTTATTATTATGTTTAACAAAACAAAAAAATATTCGTTAAAACACATATCTATGTAATAGAATTATAAGTAATGAATTATTTTGATTGTAAATAAGATATAAAATTTCAGCACATTTCGAAAAAAATAGAAATTTTCCAAGAACACATAAAATATTAGAAAAACTAAAAACTTTTAAAACTGTTTTCAAAAAATTAAAAATAATTTGAAAGTATAGAAAAATTATAATACTCAAATGAAATAAAACATAATTTCAAATAAAAATTATTTTTAGTAAATAATTAAGCTATAATATGACCTAAAAAGTACGCCCTAACTTGAAATTGCTTAACCTTATAACTTAAGCTAAACGATATAAATTCAACATAAAAAATACATGTTTGAGAAAAAAATCTAAAGTAAAAAATTGTGCTCATTAAAAAAAAAAAAAAAAAAAAAATGATGTTTCTGTACAAATATGTACTATATTTCCCAGTAAAATCAATTCAATGTTATTATAAAAAAAATTTAATGAAATATAGTTAAAGAAATGTTTTTTCATTAAATTTCCTAATTTATAAAGAAAAAAATTCATCTTTATTAAGTATGTACATAAAGAATTGATTTACTTGTGAATACATTAATAATTGATTGAGATAATAATTATACTATACACGGTACAAAGTACTGCAATGTTCATATCTTTACAATTTAAATTCATCTATTTAGTAGGTAATTTATTTATAAATGTAAGAAATACGGTCACGAGAATACTGATATCAAATTTAAATATAAAAATAAACCATAACTCATGAATTGTATATTTGTACGAATTGCTTTTTATGATGGTAAATATTTGTGTCCAAAATCTGAAAAAATAATTTCATCACGTAGGTAGTTCAAGTTTTATATTGGTCGTATAATGCGAGTCATCGTTTTGTAAAATATTGTCAATTTGTATACTTGTTTTATTATATACGAGTATGTATAGGTATACTATTTTATGTCAAATCACCAAGTGAATGTAAAGAGTTCTATTTTAGATGAAATAAAATGAGTAAAAATTATTGCCCATAAAATATTTTGGGGTTCATAATCAAACTTTATTTTCATAATATTTATTCGTTTCATGCGTTTATATAATATAATATGTTTAGTCAGTGAAAAATTCTATGAGTTTTTCAAATGTGTATATGTTATTATTATACGGCTATTGCGACAATATTGGCCATTCCTATGCAATGGCACAGTTATTTTCTAAACCATTCATTTTATTACATAGATGATATTTATTATTATGTTTTCAATTAAATAATTGTTTTCGATATTATTGAATCTAAGTCTAGAAATTGCATTCGATGAATCACTATGAGAATTGTATGATTTAAAAAAGTAATTCATCAAGATTTAGGTATTATAGGTATCAATTCATTATTATGAGTTATACCTAAAATACAAATAATATTAATTAAAACAAAACAAAATCAATACAGACTATCTCTAAAAATAATTATTTTAAAACTTGACAGTGGTGGATTTTAGGAGCATGATGTTGGCAAGAAGGCAGAGAAGGTCTAACCTCATCTAACCTTCCCTTGGGACTTGATTAAATCCATTTAATAAATCAATACTAAAATAAAATAATTTATGGCAATTATTACCTGTAAATATCATAAAAAATATAAAATATAACAATTTATTATAAAAAAATAAGAACGTTTTAATGATAATTTTCTACAAGAGAAAAAAATATTTGTTTTTTGTTCCATTGTTCTATATTCCCCTCTCCTTGTTAAAACGTTGCTAAAATGGTCATTTGTACTAAAGTATATTGTCATACTCACATATTAATGAATTTAGAATTCAATAACATTGTTGAAGTTTTGCTTTTTGCATTTAACATATAATATGAACCAAATTAATTAAGTATATGCATTTAAAACCCAACATTTTTCGTAATTCACAATGAATTTACGATTATCTATAACTATTTTGAGCTACTTGGGATGTAAAAAAACTATTTGAAATAATATTATCATATAATCTACAAACTATATCAAAATTAGCTTGATACATATAAAGTTAGGAACATTTAAACTAGCAGTCGTTAATTGGTGGTCCACGGTAAAAATTTGGTGGTCCACAGAAAAATTTGAATATTATTTGTAATTTTGTATTTATAATCATAATATAAATATTGTAAGTTCAGTTTACGACAAATAAGATTAAACAAGTAATAATATTGTCATTATTATCCCATGTTATAAAATAAATAGACCTTATATCGTTATCGCAACACGTTCAAGAATACTATAATGATTCAAATCCAGTCTTTATTTTAGCTTTTAATTTTTTTTTTTTTTTTGTATTTAAGACTCATGAGTACAAGTGATCCGTATAATTTAGAATTATGGATTTAGTAGTCCCTAAGATCCCAAAAGGTTTTCGACTGCTGATTTTTTACGAAATCACTTGCAACGAAACACGAAATCGACTCACAAACGAGTACTTAAATTTAAATTAGTTATTCATGTAAAGTGAACTGGAAATAATTCGTGTCCCTTAAGAATTGTATAAGTGACGCAAACTTTCCATTTTAAATTTTTTTATTTTCTTAGTAAAATCAGGTATGTGTGCAACGAACGAATTGCTGAGTTTTCGTTTTCATATTTATAACTAATAAAAGTTACGACAAACACTGAAGCGCATATATACCGGTGTTACATTCGTCAATAAATAACAAATACATTAAGTATAATTTGATACTAATAGGCTAATATTGTTTCTTTTAAACATGCCATCTCATTCCTTTGTAATGCGCTCCGCTTCACTTAAATAAATACTTACTTAGGAATTACAATATTATAACCGTTGTGCCGTAACGATATTGTGCTAATGTTTGTATTGCCATTTGTATTAGTGACAACAATAGATATTGTAATGTGGTTCGCCGAATGCTATAATGTTATTCTCGTATATATTTTAATTTTCAACTGTTGATGAATGAAATGATCTAAAAATATGTTTTTTCCCATGGTATCATCCAAACGAGCTTCAATAACCCCGAAGAGCTATTCTGTAATATTATCGGCGTATAATAATAATATGTGATGTAACATATTATACTGCGGTACCACATAATAATATTAGACAATTGTTTATTTGTATAGGTATATTGCACTTAAACAAAACTACAATATACGCAATTCTGATAATTGAATAAATATATACGATACGCTTGATGCTTTTTAACCGAATAATAACGTCAAATACAATCTGTGCAGGAATATTTATTCGTTTGATATTATGCCGATTTCAGTTTTAGGTAAAATATGTTTATTAATTGTAATGCGTAGTAGGCCAGACGCGAAGAAAATATCGAGGTTTGGAAATTATTTATATAACACGTGTAATCTCACTGCACACACATCATTAAGTATTAAAAAAAAAAAGTTCAAATAGAATAAAAAAAAAAAATTAAAACACCCCTGTCCGCTCACATATACTTATTATTAATATATAATACATTGGATTCTATGCTATTAAAATTATAATTATTTCAACAGTCTTAAGTTTCATTAATGATTTACAATAATTTAAGGCAGACATTAAAATATCACTGAGTATTATACAGTAACGATACGTGATACATTAATAAATCGTATTTAAAACTTAAAGTATTAATTTTTCCACCCTTGTATTTATCGGTTAAACCCCATTTAATCATTTTATTAAATTATTCTTTGTGAATTTTTACGTTAATCCGAGATATATATAATACCTAATATTCAAGTCTTTTTAAGAGGTACTAGTAAATTTTTCGTTTATAAATACTAGGATTCGATATTAATCTATTTATGATAATGAAAAAGTCGTTATATCGGTTCATAATTGTATTGTATTTACCTACACTAATTTATTATCAATAATTATTATCATTGTAAATATAATATAATACCAGCTTCTTACCAAGTACTAATATATAATCACCGGAAATGGAACAACAAATAGATACTGAATACAAAATAAATAACCAATAATATGTACTTTAAGATCATTCCACATTAATATTACAACTATTTTATAATATAAATACTTAAAATAAAGAACAATGTCAAACATATAGAATGCATTTTTTTTTTTAATTTTAGAAAAATATATAATGATTTATAATGGGGTCAACTTTTTAAAATCAAATGGAAACTTAATTTTTTGCAAACATTAAATTCAAAACATCTTTTAGTGGTTAAAAAACATAAATTACTGCAAAACTAAAAAAATATATATATAGAATATTAATTTATTTGATATAATACTTACTATGTTAATAATACCTATATTGACTAAATTATATTTCCCTGTGTTTAATGCATTTATTGTTTTGTTTTGTAAGATGGCCATGTAAGATTATAAGAGACACATTTGGATTTTAAAACTCAAAATCAAAATACAAATGCAGGAGTATTGGACTGATTGAAAAAACTTCAAACATCGTAGTTTATCCGTCTAGATCCTACTTTCTATGGTGTGGAGGACGGAGGTGAAAAAAAAATCACATCTACCAAGCTATAGTCGACATAACCACATAAAAAAAAAAAAATACGGATCAGAGACGAAATATGGACGAGATACACAAAGTTCAAGTAAATAAAGATTATTTTGTATAACTTATGTAACTACCACAAAACTACAGCTGAGATAATATTTTATATATAAATATAAAAATATATGAATACTGAATTACGACGGCGATGGTAAGAATATATTATTGTATTGTAAATTGTAATTTAAATATTGAATTTAAAATAATATTATCTTTTTAGTGGTACCAGAAGAAATCATAAAAATGTTAATACAATTTAATATCAATATCTCCGAATCTGATATCCGTCATATACAACACTGGAGTAATCGATCAGGGTTATAACTTATATTATATAAAATACATAAACTTACATTTTAAGAGATATTCAAATTGTTGATTAACCAGAAATCCGGTGGAATGAAGGGAGTAGACGGTCTGTTACAACACTTCAAATCATTTTCATCTCGGGATTTTTAAACAATGTTCAAATTAAACAAGATATTTAGTCAAAAATTATTAATTTTTACTTAAGTATTGTTTTATTTTATTTTTGGTATTTTTTCACTTTTAAATTTATTTTTCTATATTACAAATACAAAAAAAAAAATATATATATATATATATAAACATACACATATTTTTTCTTGTTTTTGTAATGTATCTACTTGTTTCAAATTGATTTTTTAAGTTATTTATATCATCTCGTTGGATATTTAAAATAGATATATGTTATCTTAAATTGCTGAAAATCTCATTATTAAAATGTAGGCCAAATTTACTTGGAAGAATTCTTATTGGTGGGCTATAAAAATATAATTTTTTTTATATAGTCACGTACAATATTTTAGTGTAAATGATATTAAATATCTGCGAAGTTTCTTTTTTTCATTGCATGCCATTACTTGTTATTCAAAAGTACAATCTTTTATAAATGTTTTTTGGCAGTATGTGGCAACTTTTAGGAGGTCCAGTTTATCTGAAAATAAATTGTCAGCACTTTTTTTTTTGACGAATAACGTATTAGATAAAAGAAAATATGATATTTTGTATTTTCATCTCGTCAGAACCGTATTTATTCCATAAAATATTTCAGCAGAACGGTATTTCAGCTGAAGATAATGTACACTGAGATATAAGCAGTTGAAAATATATTATATGAAGGTATTTTCTGAAAATTATCTTTTATAAATCTTTTAATATCTAATTAGTAATAACTAAAATATAGTCACAAGGAAAATAAATGATTAAGCTATACTGGCACATACAGAAAATGTATAATTAAATAAACATGTATTTAAAGGAAAATTCAAAACACTGAAATATGTAATATTTAATATATTTTTAGAATAAAACAAACGTACAATAAATTTATCGTTAATAGAATAATTTTATTCTTTTTAATTAATTTTCTGTTTATCATAATATTTAAATGAAGTAAAATTAAATATAAATGATAAATTAAGTTTATTAATATTATATAATATCATTCCCCTTCAAAAACAACGATAGACATATAACGAGAGTGTTATTGTGTAATTAAATACCTATTTTAATACTAGACATAGGAAATAGTATTATAATGAAATATTTTGAAGATTACAAAGTGTTCGGTTGATAAATATAGTTTTAAATTTATTTTTAATTTTATATAAAAAATAAGTATGAAAATCATGGATAATACTAAAAAAATAAGTAGATAAAGTGATATGTCCATAAAATATCAATAATAAGTATTATATTTTATAAATAAAGTTATTAATTAATGCGGTAAAACTAATAAAGTTTTTTCAAATGTTATAAAAACAATAAAATAAGTAATATAATAACATAATATATTATAGTTTTACATACAAATGTATTAAAATTTAATACTTTTTGTTTAAAAAAAAAATGATCTTATTAAATTAAGTAAAAATTCATTTTATCTTTTTTTTTTGTATTGGTTATATTTTTTTTTTTTAGTTTTATTTAGATGAACTTCGATTTTGGCAACAATGTAAAAAAATTCAAAATAAAATATTATTATTTTCATATCAAATCTCATTTACTAAAACATTAATATAGTATCTATATTTTGTTTGGTATTTAGTTTTATATTAGTTTAGCATTTATGTAAATACAAAAATATCCAGTAAGCTATTATTCACCATTATTACCATTTGTTATTTTAATAGCTTATAAAATATAATAATAAAATGACTGTAAACATTACTTTTTCATAAAAGTGAAACGACAAAAGGTAATATTTATATTTTTTAAATGTTGTCAATATTTTTGTTTTACAGTTATATAAAAAAAAAAAATAATAATAATAATAATTTAAAAACATAAAATAAATGACAATTATGGATACTGTTAAGTTTCGTAAAAGAATAAAATGTGAACACCATTGGAAGTTTCTTGGAATAATTAGTTACAAGCGTGAACAAAATATATATATATATATATATACAAACACAATTTAATATTATGATTTGACTTATTGTATGGTATTAATTACCAAAGGCAAGATGTTGTTAGCTTAAGAATGTACATATAACTATAATATATTATAAAATGGAAACGGATAAACCCATATTAACGCATGTTGTTTTATTTTATTTTTTTTAGATAACAACGTCGACCATTTCACACAGTTTGCTTTGGGTCGAAAGTAGTTTTTGTCACAACATAAAAACGTCAAACAATAAGAAGTGTTATTTCAGAGGACCTGAAACCTGATTCAATTTTAAACATTGTTTAATATTTAAAAAACCTCTACTACTGCTTTAAAACACATTTCGTGCCGATTATCGACGGTGCACAAATGTGAATGCGAACTGCGTGTCCGCAAGGATCGTCCATAACATCGAAAATAACAACAACTGTACACTATGATGATATTTTTGATTATAATATCAATATCAGTAGAATAATAAATGATTTTTTACTTAACCATTTGTAAAAATATTTAGGTGCCTATATTAGTTAACTTTTAAGTTCCATCTCGTTCATCTTGTTCCACTGCCCCTAATGCACCCCACGTCAACAACCAAATATAGAGCTAATGAATCTAGAAGGCGTCTAATTTCAACTGACAATGCAAATCTTGCTTTAACCATTTTTATTATATAATTATGTATGATTCTTCATTATAAGTCATTTTGATTTTATATTATCTTTTACCTTAAATGTTATATGTTCTAAATGGCCCAGACTGTATAATTAAAATAAAAATTAAAATAATTGTATGACGCTGTACAATATAATATATTGAAAAATATGCAGTCTTGTAAAAGATAATTTTAGAAAGTGTTCGAGTACAGATAAAAAATACTTAAAAAAAGGTATTAACAATAGATAATTTCAAACTTTTTGTTTACTATTTTTTTCTAGTTTATAAACTAAAAAATCCGAATTATTTTAACATGTTTTATTGTCTTACATTTTTATTTAGCATTTTATATTGTATCATTTGATGTTATTATAAATTCTTCATCAAAGTGTTTCAATTTTCGGTTAGGTATAAAACACACGGAAAAAATAAGTGTCATACGTGCACTTTTAGTATATTATAATATTTCAAATTGAATGGTCGGTTATTTTGAATGAAATCGATCATCAAAAATGTGAAACTATATACAAATATAATAATATTGTTGTAATAATTTATATTTTTTATATAAATTATAATATATTCTTGCTAATATATAAATTAATTTCTTTTTTTTTTATGATAAAATAGAAAATATTATATAACATAAAAATTAAAGAGTAATTAAAAAATAATCATTAAATTTTAATACAATTAGTTTGGGAAAGAGTTTAAAATTCATATTTTATCACTTAAAAAGTTTTTGAATAATTTTACTCATTTACATTAGGTACATTACTGAAAATATGCAAAACTACTGCACAGCTTATATTTAATTAATATTGTTAAGAAAATCATTTAAAATTTGAATTATCATTTAAACAAAATTAAGTTTAATGGTTTTTGTCAATAATAATATTTACCAACGTCTCGCTTTATTTATATACCATAGTTATGATTGTAATCTACACGCGTAAATCACACATTGTGGATAAAATATTAAGAGACGTAGTCATGAAAGTTAATAATATTTTAATTGTAATTTTCTATAATAACACCAATAGTTCAATCAAATTGCGTTTTGTACCCAAAAATTAATAATAACAGTTTATTGTTGGCAAAAGAGAGTAGACTTATTTTTCGTTTAACCGAATCTTATAGTGTTATATTATATTTATCGTATAATATAATTCAGTCACGTTTTTCAACATCTATATTTTGATTTTTACGTATCTCTACTCGTGAATCTGTTAATATTATTTTCAAAAAATCAATATTAATGTTTATATAAATACTTGTTATAAAATTACAAAAATTGTTTTCTTGTATAATTTTAAATTTTAAACAAAACTAGGATATACGTGTCCGGCGTGTCTGTATATTAGTTTTACAACGATGTATTTTTCTTTTTTTAATCATAAAATTGTTTAGTTAAAAGAACAGTATAAACTTACTATCAAGTTAAAAATCAAACTTAAACTCCGTTTTTCCTGATTATTTTGTCTAAGCGTAGATAAAGAACATATTTAATGCAAAAATCACTATCTGAGGAGAAATGTTAGTATGTAAGCCTAATTTAAAGTCTAATTCATAAAAATTATTCATTTAAATATTTATTATTATAAATAAATTATTTTGATTACAATATTATGCTATGTAATTCCCAGAACAACAGTTTATCAAACACAATTGATAACGTTGTTTCAAAGTTGTTTGACAATTATTCGAAAATAAAAATAAGAACATTAATAGGACTTCATAAAAAATCAAGTTAGCATAAGTTATACTTGGAGTCAAAAAATATATTAACTAATGTTATTTGTGAGTTGTATCAAATTATTATAATAAATAATTTAATAGCACATCGTAAACGTGTTTCAATAATAATAGTAATTTTTAATTAATTAAATTTTGAAAAATATGAGTGTATAAATAAAAAAACAATAAATAGAATGTATTTATATTCAATTATTTTAAAGTTTTTAAGTGACTCCAATATATTATCGAAATCGACTAAAATATAGTATAAATAATTAAAAAATATTTAATTATTACAAAATATGTACTTAATTCAAAAAATATACACTAAAAAACGTTAAATAATTTAAATATGCAATTAAATTTAAAAAAAAAGTTTCAAGTATACCAAAATATAACATTGTAGGTAAACACTTTCAATATTTTATTAGTCATGAAATTAACTTGTACATAAAATATATTCCTACAGGTTATAAGTAAGAAAAATGTAGTTAAGTACATATCAAAGTTATTATCGATTTTGTGATACCTACCGAAACAGTAATTTTGGGAATTAGTTATATTTTAGGCATAATTAGTAGCAACATTTAGTTCAGTAACAATAATCTAAAGTTACATAACAGACGTATTTTTCTATAATTCTGAGCAAACCCGTAACCGAATAAAATTTTCTAAGATCATACATGGTTAAAACTATTTCTTTTATATTACCTACGTATAAGTATTTAACAAATAGGAAAATTACATTTCTAACATGTCAGTAAATATTATATTTTGTTAATACAAAATCAACTTAATTTAATGTTACATCAATTTCTCATTAAACATACAAAATAGAAAAAAATACATCGCATTAAAAATTAATTATCTTAAACGTTTCTCTGGCATTTCATAATAAAAATAATTATTTTTCAGGTGAGTCTATGTCAAAGAAGTTCTGAAGAAATGCAAACTAATTACATACTAAATATTTGCAGAATAAGATTTGATTTTAATTAGCTATTTAAAACAGACTTCAATAAAACACAATAATTTCAAATATTTAGCAATTGTCTATCAAACGTCTGTTTAAAAGTGGTTTAGATGCTAACGTTAAATAATTAAATGTTAATATTTTGATTTTATGCAATAATCACGTAAAGAAATGTGTGTGCATTTTAGATAACCAAATACATATTTTTTAAGAAAAACTATTTGTCTAGTAATATCTAAGAGCTATAAAAAATTGTACCCTATACCAGACAATATAAAAAACAATGTTGATTAATACCGAATTTCAGTAATCTACAAGAACATATTATCAATAAATTATAGGTACAGCACCGATAAATGTAGTTGATAAACTAATGAAATAATAAGAAAATAGGTATATATTTTATGTTTTTATTTTGGTATTTTGTTAGTTTAAATTTAGTTTTTCATAATAATGAATAATTATTATTTGTATTATACTTTTAATACACTTAATTAGGTAACAACTAACTAGTTTAAATTACATTTACAAAAAATAAAATTCAATGTAATAATAACTATTATAATATTGGTATAATTTTTGTATTCTGTATTTTTTTATTTATTCGATAATTATTGTTATAAAATTTTTAGTTTTAGTTAAATAATAAGTAAAATCTGTACATTTTTTTTTTTTTTTTTTTTTGAACTTTTTTGTGAATATGAATTTTTATGTTTAATTTGATACTTAAATTTGTATTATTTTTCACTTATAAGATACTTGCACAAGAAATAATTACTTTTAAGTTCCATTAAATTAGGTTACATATTTACAAAATATTTTAAATTTAAATTTGCCTTCTATAACATAATTAAATATTTATTATAATTTTAATACAATAGATTAATGGTTTTAAATCTATTAATTCGGTTAAATTAAGTATAAAAAATAATTAAAATTAATACTAAAAAATTATTGAAGCTTAAAAATTCTTATTTTTTGCACTTGCAATAATATTTACAATCTTACGTTACAGCATTTCTGTAATAATATGTTGTAAATTTCATATTTAGAGTAAAAAATATGGATTTCTAAGCATAAATAATTTTGTAATATTCATTTTAATTATTTTTTGTATTTAATTTAACCGATTATTAATCTATTGTACTTAAAAAAAAAAAAATATTTAAATATTTTCTAGTTATAGATTTAATTAGGTAGGTAATGATATTTTTATCGATTTCAAGTAATATCTTATGTCTATAATATCTTTAGCTTTATTTTTTAGTCAATTAGTATCCTATAATGGTTATAAAATAATGCAATATGATAGTTAATATTAGTTATATATTTCAAGTAAAACGTTTTCTAATAGTTTGATAAAATAGAAAATATACATAAATACCCGGTTATTATTCTACTTAAGTTCCTGATTTTATGATAATTAGTAAAATTATATCATCACCTTGGTTAGAAAACCAAAAATAAATAATTCTTAAATTTAGTAGAAAATATAATATGTAGATTATAAGTAAATGTTCTTTTTAAGTTACGATATAATTCGAAATATAGGTATTGCATCTATAAATTTAAATGTTGAATTGCATTTTTATTAAATTTTATCAATGCATACAACTAATTTTATATTCATGATATAGCGAATATTTTCAAGAAATATTGACCACTATTGTTCAGCTTTAAAATTGAAAAATCGAAAATATTTTTGAATTTTTAAATACAATATAGTATAAAAATATAGATTAATATAAAAAAATTGAGTATTTTTGACACATTTTAATAGTTATAAAAATTAACTTGTATACCAACGTACAAGATATCTTCTAGAATACTTTCAAGCCTTTTGACTAAATAGTTACATGAAATTAAATTAAAATTAAATAATAAAAAGTTAAAAAAGTAACATGTCCATCAATACTTTCTAACTCTAATTATCTCAAAAGAAGCTAAAAAAAAAAAAAAAATGATTATTTTGTTTTATGGTAAATAATAATATCATAAATATTGAAATATCTGATAAGCATTAATACAATTATCTACGGTTTTTTTATTCTTAAAAAAAAAACAATTTTGACAAAAACTGATATTATGTAAAGTATTCTAGTATCCCATACATTTTTTTTTACTTTTTCCTGAAAATTAAAAAAATTATTAGTAATTTTAAACTGTCTAAATTATGAAGTATATTTAATGATAGTTTTTTTTTTTTTACTTTTAAATTAATTAATAATAAATACACTGAACTTCTATACTAATACATTTATTGCCATGTATAAAATCTAAAATGAAAAAATAATAGAATGTATTGAAATGGTTGCCAAAAATAACTATCTTATTGTAAAACTTAATAAATAATAAGTACAGTACTGAACGTCTTTCTAAATAAACAGTTCGTGAGTGTATTATTGC